AACGATGGTGCTACCTACCTCTCAATGGTGGGATAGCACTATCCAAAGGACTCTTACACAGCTTAATTCCTTAGGGTAGGTAGATTCTCATGGGTACTTGCTCTTTCTCAAAACAAACAAAAATACTTTTCACACCTCACACTTTCTAAAGGTTTTCAAACAAATTTTTCATACACTCTTGAGGACAGATACAAGAGTTACTTAGAAATTTTTCAAACAAAACTTTTTCAAAACCCACACACACTTGAAAAGCAAACATTTTTGAAAACATAAGAGCAAGTACCTAAGAGCCCGTGGATAACCACAGATAGAAAGGGTGCTAACACCTTCCCTTTCTATAAATCTACCTCCCGAACCGAGAAACATTCTCATAAGGAATTTTGCTGTGCTTTTGTCCTTTCCATGCAATGTCACATAACTTCAATTTTTGACAAAAGGGCCCACTTTTTTCCACTTGATTCATCCTTGTCATGTCACCCACGTGTCCCATGATCAATTTCAAGACAAAATAATTATTTTTCTATTTTTATTTAATTTTTATGGATTTAATTCATTTTAATCCATAATAATTCAAGTAAATCTAAAAAAATTAATTAAATGGTATTTTATGGTTTGAATAGCCTTCATGAAGCATTTGCAACCTACCAATTTCGTGCTAAACTCATTTAGGCATGAAAATTCAAATTTTGAACAAGCTTTGAAAGGCCTTTAATGGTGGTTAAGACAAAATCCAAAGCTTAATTGCAATGGTTAAAGGCTCCTAAATGTGACTTATTCTCACTCATTACTATATATACAAGCCTTGCAAGCCTCATTCATAACCTAGAGTGTGCACAAACGGCCAGAGCAAAATCCAAAAAGTGTCAAAAAAAGTGTGAGATCAAAAGGAGTGTTGCAAGCATTTTCAGGCCAAAAGGAGAACGTGACTCTCTTCTTTGCCATACTCTGAAGCTAAAGCAACCCTTGCCACGTCCTAAGGTCCATCATACCGCGCTGTAAGTTTTCCCAGGTCCACTCAATAATTGTTTCAATTTTTCCTAACATATTCCTATGCAGGCTTGCTAGTGTGTTCCACCATACCCCTCACAAATCAGGCGCCAAGTGTCCACAAGCGTCAATCCAGTGGTCATAAACTGATCCACACCATGCTCCCAGTCAATCACCAAGCACTTGATCCAAGAAGTCAACGTGGCTGGATGAATATTGGGCTTTCAGATTTCTAAACACACACTCAATTCTGGCCCAAACCCCCCTTGGGTTTGCAATTTTATTTTGTCATTTTATTTTTTTATTTGACTTATTTTATTTCTTATTCCTTTTTATTAACTATTAACATAATTAATATTTTTCATAAAAAATCAAAAAAGAACTAATATTATTATTATTATTAATTTCATGTTATTTTTGTAAATAAAATACTAACAATTAAAATAGTTTAATTAGTTAACTTTAATACCTTTTTTTACAATAAATAAAATAATTTAGACTTAGGCTTTTCTTTTGACATTTTTAATTCCTTTTTTTATTTTATTTCAATAAAACATAAAAACACAAAAAATATTTTTCTTAATTAATTAATTAATTAGTTATTAGTTTTTATTTCATTAATTACAAAAAAGGACAAAAAAAAATTCAATTCTTTTCTTAAAAGGGTCAACACCCTTAGGACGTTCCCGATTCTTTCTTTCGCGCGTATTTATTTTCTTATTTTTATATTTATGTATCTGTACATAGTATGTAATAGTTAATTAGGGATTTTTACCGTTTTATTTAAATTCTCGCACTTATTTACCAAAACGGGTTTTTGTCTTTTGGCGATGTATAGACCCGCGCCTTGTAATAGTTAGATTTACATTTCCGCAATTTATTTTCCGCACTCCTAACTGTTAATAATGCATGAAAGAATGTATGAATAATAAAATTAATCTGTAGCTCACAAATAACATGTACAAGATAAACATAACATGAAAACAACACACAAAGCACATGCCACTTCTAGGGTACGCCTCACTGGTTGCCTCGAAAGTGGTCATCAAGTATAGGACGTCTTAGAGGTCGCCCTTTGTCTAAAGATCCAGTTGCCTCAGATAAAAGGATCTAGGACATTAGGGTTACTTCTAAGGTATCCTACCATTGCTTCGGTGACCACACTGTCCCTAATCATCGAATTGACCCGAATACCTCCAACGATGGTGCTACCTACCTCTAAATGGTGGGATAGCACTATCTAAAGGACTCTTACATAGCTTAATTCCTTATAGTAGGTAGATTCTCCTGGGTACTTGCTCTTTTTCAAACAAACAAAAACAAACTTTTCGCACTCACACTTTCTAAAAGTTTTCAAACAAATTTTTCACACACTCTTGAGGACAGATACAAGAGTTACTTAGAAATTTTTCAAACGAAACTTTTTTCAAAACCCACACACATTTGAAAAGCAAACATATTTTGAAAACATAAGAGCAAGTACCTAAGAGCCCGTGGATAACCACGGATAGAAAGGGTGCTAACACCTTCCCTTTCTATAAATCTACCTCCCGAACCGAGAAACATTCTCAAAGAAGGAATTTTGCTGTGCTTATGTCCTTTCCATGTTGGAGAATATAAAAGACGGTGGCGACTCTTGCTTACCGCGACATTTCGCGAAACCAGCTAAAAAACAGTCAGTTCTATTTCCACCGATCACACAATCCATTGAGGATATGATGTAACAGCCAAGAACCCTACATTGAATTGTTTCATAAATCCAACCTTGATCTTTTCTGACATCTCAGGACGCATGCGACGAACCTTCTGTTTTATCATAGAACAACCCTCTTTCATCGGTAGACGGTGAACCACAATATCAGTATCAAGCCCTGGAATGTCTTTGTACGACCAAGCAAAGATCTCAACATAGTCATGCAACATCTGGATTAACCTTTTCTTGACACCGTCCTCTAGGTTGACACTTATCTTGACTTCTTTCTTGTCTGTTTCGTACCCAAGTTCACGACCTCGACTGGCTCTTCATGTGGTTGTATAGTTTTTTCCTCTTGCACTAGCAGTCGAGCAAGTTCTCCAGATATTTCATAATCTTCCTCGCCTTCCTCCTCGGTGTTATACCCCAATTTTTGCCCATAAGATTCCTATATCATCTCATACCATCAATACATTGAGATCATGCATTAGGGTTTGTATATTTCTTCTATGTCATCCTATCTTTAAATGTTCTCTTGAAGAATTACCTAGAACCCTAATTATGTATCTTGTATATATATATGTGTTTTATATTCTACTAACCTCTAACCAAAATCCAAAAATATGTCTTGTTTATTTTGTTTCTTTTAGAAGACAGGGTTGCAATCAAGAAATTCAGGTGATGGTTCTCCAATTAGGGTTGTGGTTTGTTCAGACCAATGGTGGTTCCCAAAAGCCTATGGTTCATAGTGGTGATCTATAATCTTAGATCACGCTACCCTCGAGCTTCATTCAACATAGTTAAGGCGAGTTGGTTGCTTAATTCTCAAGATTCTTCGAGATAGGTTCATGTGTTTATTTTCAATCCTTCTTCGACGATTAATCTCGAGTTCTGTCAAGTGTGAACGTGGTTTAATCAATATTTCACCACCTCAAATTCATATATGATTAAGAATGCCTCGGGTTGTGGAAGAAAGACAAAGTCTATAGTTAATTCAATGTTGGTTGACTGAAAGTCAATATTTGCAAGTTCAAGTTCAAATAATCATAACTTCTTCGTTATTCATTATTTTTGATTGATTCTTCGAGCATATGAATCTCATTGACGTCATCTATGATTTCTCTTTACAAGTCAAGAGCTAATTATGTGTAGAAAGCCATCAAAAGTTTGAGTACGTTAGAGGGTGTTTCGTGACTTTGACCTAAATCCAAATGACTTTCGTCCAACTTCTGAGGATCATAATTCTTTCAATTTTCATCGTTTTGGGACAATTCTTTTTGCACGATACTCTTCAAGATGTTATCTACAAGTTTGCTTCAAAGAGCGGGAATGAATGGTGCTTAGAAAGCCATGAGATTTAATGAAACATTACAGGTCCTTTTTCGGGCATATAATGTTCTTAATCTCTAATTCTTCATATATCTTTCTTGTGATCGCTCAAATTAAGAGTCGTGTTTATTTTTCAAGATATCCATTTTGAAGGCCAGTTTTGTCAAGGTTTGAAGATTCAAAATCCATGAATTCAAATTTATTCAAATGCTTCAATTTGGAATTCAAAAGATGGAGAGAAGTTCTTACTTTCATGAGTTTGGAAATTACAAGTTAGAATTCATTCATTTTAATTCCTTATTCCAAAGTTTTAAGTATGTTCAACATCTTTCAAGTCCAAATCTAAATGATTCAAGTGCAAATTTGGAGACTTCATGAGGTTGAAGACTTTCATCAAAAATCTCAAGAAATTTTCATTCATGAATTCAATTTTCTAATGTCATAAGTATATCAACAGGAATGTTCCAAAAAGAAACTGCGAAAAACTCTCAAGGCAAAATTACTTTCTTTGAATTTCAAGACAACTTCAAAACTTATTCTTCCTCATTCGTCAAGAAATGAATTTAGTCTTTACAAGAAAATTCATTCAAATTGGAAAGAAGGATTCAAGGAAATACAAAGCACCATTCAAGGCATGTTTCAAGGATTTAAATCTCTTTCTTTTCTCAAGAATTCCAAGTTTTTATAACAATGATTCAAAATCAAGAAGAAACTTAGATGAACTTTCAATTCATCTCAAGTTTTCTTTAATTCATCTCAAGTTTTCTTTCTATGCCTAATTACAAGAGAAACCATGTCAAGACTTCTTTATTTAAGTTGCAAGTTGCATTCAATACATACAAAATTCAAGTTCCATAGCCTAAATTTCCAAGTTGCCTCATCAATTTACAAGAGTTCCTCAAGTTTCTAATGCATAGTTTCAAGCTATATCACTAATATTACAAGAAAATTCAAGCTCATTCTATGGCCTAATCTTCAAGTAACATCAACATTACTTTCGATTTGTCGACGGTTCTTGACCATCCTTGAGTTTAACCCGCCGTGCCAAACTCCAAGCTTTGACACGTTTGCCTCTCCATATTTTCCATATCATGTCTCAAGCATTGTTCACGACACAAGAAAAGAAAAAATAAAGATGGTATGTTAGCATATCAATTCAGTCAAAAACAACAAAATTCACACAAGCTAGCAAGAATTGAATGGCATGTTTAAGGCCTCATTTGTTGCAAAAATCAAAATCTTGGTTTACAGACTAAAAAACAATTTTTAAAACTCAAATCGAAAACAATACTCACCTCGCCAGAAATCAGAACCTTCCTCTCGCCGGAAAACCCTCACATCGCTAAAACCTTATGTTTCATCGGAAAACCCTTCGTATCGCCGGAATCCATCCATCGCCGGAGCTCTTCCCCCCTTTACTCTCTACTCTTCTTTCATTACAAGGTTGATACTCCTTTTCTGAGCACAAATCCAACTTTAATCCCTCATTTCTGTGACTGTTGTTGCTATTTTGGACAAAAACTTTTCAAACATCATTTGTAGATCTATCCTTGTGTTTTGCTTTTTTTGAAAAAATAGTTCTGAAATTAAAACGAAAAGGTTGAGGCGAATCTGAATCACCAAAAAAAATTGAAATCGCATTCTCCGCGGCGGCGGCGCCGCGAGTTCTGTCGGCTGCCGCCGCGACTAGCTCGTCCGGCCACCATGTTGTTCTTCTTTTCCTTTGTTTTCATTATTTGTTTTTTTGTAAAGAAGAGAAAGATGATGGTTATATAACAAAAGAGGAACGTGAGTTTTATAAAAGAGGAGAGAAATAAGTTTTGTTTTGCTTCAAAAAGAATACAATTAAATGTTGGTCAACAAAAATTATTATTATTGATAACGAAAAGTTTTTTTTTTGGGAATCCTTTGATGTCTGTAACGTCATTGTTGCAGAGTTTCTTTGTTGTTTTTTTTTTCACTACCTCGATCGCCGCACCGGACTATTATTGGAGGACAAGTGATCCCTCGGACACTTGTCCTCGTTTGAGAAGATGATATAAATTTTGATTCTCCGTGTTCCTGTTCATTATGTTACTGTGCATCCCTCATTCTGGATTGTATATCCCACATAAAAGGCCTATTGACTTAGTTCGATGGTTACATATTTTTCTGCTTTAATTTCTTTTTACTATTTTTGTTTTAATTTGTTTTAATCTCAAAAAATTATTTTAAATTAAATATTCTTTCAAAAATTCTGAAAAAATTCACAAAATTCATTTATCTCATTTCTAACTTAGTGTGTTTTTTCTGGAATTTTATTTCGATTTTTGCTATCTTTAATTATTTTTTACTTATTTGAGTGATTTTAATTAGCTTAAAAATTCTTTTCTGTTTTAAAAAATTATCAAATATTTTGTAAAAATATTTGAGGTCATTTCTGACTTTTATATGGTCTTTTTTATTTTTTATTTAATATTTTGAATATAGTTTGTTATTTACCTTTTATTTTCATTTTAAAAATCATTTTTCTCATTCTATTTTGCTTATTAAATGCAATTTTATTTTTGTATATATTCTTGCTGATCTTGAACTATGTGAATTTTAATCATGAACTTTATTAACATCATTGGATCTTGGGTGTTGAATTTAACTCCATCAAAATGGATGAATGATTTTAATGATAGCTTGATTAAATTATTTGGTTCAAATGTGGAATTTAATTTTTGTTTATCTTCTCCCTTTTCTTATTCTTACTTGTACTACATGTTGTTAGAGGATGATTTATATATCATTTCTCTAAACAGGTGTGACTTCTACATAAGTCCTCTTACGATTGCTTACCATAGCGCTAAATTTTGTCCAAATTCGAGAAATAATTATTCGTGGCCCAAACCTATGTTTGCAAGCCCAAGTATGTTTAATTTGAAACCTTTAATCTAATAACCTTGAGGTTCATTATTAGGAGGATTTGGTCTTATCAATCCTCTAATGAACCTTCACAAACTTTGGTCTAAGTGAATCATTTAAACATCGTTGATCATACGGTGTCGCCTCGAGAATTTGAAATGAATGATATACTTGACAAAAAGCAAATGAAACTTGTTGTTGAGAGGCTTTGATTTTATCAATCTTTTAATGAGTTTTCCAATGCAAGATTCAAGATGATCATTCAACTAACCTCTAATTTCTAACCCATTAACAAATGACTTTTATTTTTATGCTTTTACTTTACTCCTTTACTTTTATGCAACATTTATTTTAGCATTTACATTTCATACTACTTTCATCTTTGCTCACTTGAGAATTTATCTTTATGTCTTTTTTTTTGCTCACTTGAGCTTTCATTTTCTTTTTGAAGATACCTAATAACCAACTTGAACAATAAATAGCTTTAAGGTTTCTTGGACTATTTGGTTACTATCCTTGGTATTACGGAGTTATGAACCTCTTAGACTTAGGAGTAGAGACGTTGGCTACCCTTGAGACCTTGGTGAGTTCTATTGTTATTTTGTCTGGAGTTTTTAGGATTTACCCCAAGACATTGGGTTGTTTTTCTTTGTGTACAGGTTATTCTGATTATGTGCATTGTCTGTAATTGGGAATTCATCTGTATACAGCCGTTACTCTGCCCAATTTTTGTGAAGACTTAATGCATCTGAAGCATGGGATTCTTAAGAGGTTTAGTATCTTTGATTACTTGGTTTCAAATCTAAAGGATGGGAATTCTACATTGACTCATTGTGTCAAGTCTTGGCTTCTTGTTGGTTAGGCGGCTCTTTTCCCTAGCTCTAACCTTATTATTTAGGATAGTCCATTCATCTCCTCCCATTTTCTTTAATTTCAAAAATCTTCTCTCTCTTTTTCAAAACTCTTCTTCTTTTCTAACTTGAACCGCTTTCACAATAAACATAGACTTAGGTCCATGCATTTTCAAAAATATTTTCTTAATCAAACTTTAACCAACTTAACCATACTTTGACATTTTTTATGAGAAGACTAAAAGTCAATCAATCTCATTCAAATCATTTTGCCACTTTGACTCTTTACTTCAAAAAAAAAATCAAAAGATTAGACTCTTGTCAATCCTTGTAGTGATGTTAGCTACTATACTTCTATGATATGGAGTGAAGTAAGATATTTTCCACTTGAGTGTTGAGTGAGGCTTTGTCGATTTTAAAATCCAAGCTATTTCCTCCACTTTAAGATGATGTAAATTCTCCTTTCTCATAATCGTGGGTAGTAAGTATGTTTTCCACTCGGATACAACGATGATGTCTAGTCTCTTAAAATTAACCAACATATTTGTGTTTTGAAATTTTTAAAGGTGAACTACGAGTACCCCGATCCTCTATTACACGAAAGGTGGTACGTAGGCACTAAAGATTCACAACCGCGGCGGGTGCAAAAATTGTAAAATATACTTCTTTTTCCTCATCACCACAATTTATTTTTTGTACACAACACTTATAGCTAAAATACACAAATTTTCAAAGAGGTTCCTGCGGAGTACCATAGATGTTTACGGTGCTAATATATTCCCTTTGCATAACCAACCCCCGTACCTAGATTCTCTCCCCTTCTTTTTTTGGGTTATTCTTTTTTCTCATTCCTTTGGAAACAATAAATCGCGGTGGCGATTTTTATATTATTTGTGCGAGTTAAGTCAATCCAATGGCTTAGTCTCAACATTTCTACCACTACACTCGGCTTGGTTGATCTTATTTTCAAAGTCATAAGTGGCAATAGAATAATTGTTATCAACGGGATCCAAAGTGGATGTGGATCTGCAATTTATTGTGTGGGTGTGTGTAAGAACACATAGTTATTTTGAAAGTGATAAAAATAAAAGAAAGACAAAGAGCAAAAATTTGAATTTAAAACGTCAAATGCTTTATTAAATGAAGATATGTTTATGAAATGACAACCCTAGCAAATGGACCATTATGCTCTGGGTAAGGCACAAGGCTTGAAGTCATTGTTCAAAAGTTACATAGGCAAAACTTGAAAGCAATAAAATAGAAAATAACAATTACTCCTGACTAAAGGAGATTGAGATAATGTCTTGAGTCTTCCAGTTGTTGAGCATGTTGTCGATGGTGGGAAAGATCCAGCTGTCAAGGTCATAGTCACTATCAGAATATTCTATTGCATTGACTCTATTATTGTTGAAGCGCCATGGTGGTCTTCCATCCCGAGCTTGAAGAACAGCCCTCTGAGTCTCTACAGTGAAACCCAAACCAAATTTGTTAGATTTATACGGAATGTCAGGAAGCTGGCCCTAAGTAGTACAACCACCTTCTTCTATAGCAGCTCTAGCATCCTTCAAAGAAGACGTTATGGGCGGAACCTTGGTAACCTTAGGAATAGTGGAAACATCTTCAATAGCGGTAGGTGGGATAACTTCAAAAGTCTGACAAGGAGTATCGATGAATTTGTCGTCCATCTCTACATACCTGAATGAGTTCAAATGACTCACCATATACTCCTCTTCACCATAAAAGTAACAAAAATTCCTTTCATAGGATATTTCATCTCCTGGTGTAGGGTTGAGGTAACAACACCTACCCCATGGATCCAAGGGTGTTTCAATAAAAAAGAATAATTCGGTCGAATATCCATCACATAGAAGGTACATTAGAATACCTGAGAACCTACCTTGACCAGAAGATCCACTTCTCTGTATACCATCCTCTTCGAACCGTTAAAGGCTCTCACCACAATATCACGAGGTTTCAGTATAACCCCTTCGTAATCAAGTATGTCAAGAGCACCCTTTGGTAGAACATTCAACGAAGAACCCGTATCAACCAACATGTGAGCCAAAGTAGTGCCCCTACATTCAATAGAGACATACAGGGCCATGTTTTGGTTTATTCCTTCAGGAGTCAAATCGACATCAGAAAAGTCTAACCCATTGTTGGTCGTTAAGCTAGCAACATAACTCTCAAATTGATCGGCAGAAATTTCCTGTGGTACACGCGCTGATTTTAAGAACTTCACTAAAGCATACGCATGGGCTTCTGAACATAGTAACGGGGATACCATGGAGATCTTAGAGGGGGTTTGCCCCATCTGTTTAACAATCTTGTGATCACTTTTGCAGATAATCTTTAATACCTCCTCCAGATCTTGCCTGGAGGTGTCTTCAGCTGCAACTTCTTTAAGCGCCTTCGTCTGGGCAAGCTCCGTTATTTACTCTTTACCCCGAGTCTCAGTAGCTGATTTAATAGCGGTAACTCGAATTGGTGCGGCGAAAGTCTTTGGAGAGATTTCCAGAGAGAAAACCCTTCTTCTTCTAGTAACCTTACTGGTCCCAGTAATATTGTCAATATTGGGATCAATAACTTCAGTACCTTCATTCTCAGTAGTCAATAGTTCTTGCTTGACGTCGTGGTAGTAGACGTCGGCTCCATAGTTCCAGGGGATAACTTTGTCCGAGGAATATGGAATAGGTCCAAGTGTGGTGATTATCAGAGGAGCAACTTTGGGTTTGGCGGGGATCCTTACAGGACCCTTGGAAGTTATCCTGATAGGAGTGTCGGATATTACAGATACCTATTCTAGCTCCAAGTCTTGCAACAAATTCTCAACAGACAGAATCTTCTCAACAAGAATTAGTTGATTGTCTATTAGACATTGAATACCTTCTTCCAGCAACTTGCAGCTGTTGGGTTGGGCTGCACAGCAGTAACATCTTTCAATACAACCCAAAAATAAACTGGTC